AACAGAGTTTAATCAAAAACTTCTACAGGAAAAAAAACTATCTTGCTGTGTGGCCTTCAATTCGACATTTCGATATATCGGCCACGTTTTATCAATTAGTATTATTAGTTCCCTACCGGTGAAACCGTAGGGGACTTAAGGTTTCCTCCTCGTCTGTCCGTCTGTCCGTCTAGCTGTCTGTATGTTTGTATCTCCGCCTGTCTCAGTCTGTCCCACTTGGCTTTCCGCACTTTTTCCTTTGAGATATCGAGCTGACTTTTGGTATGTGAGTGCATCTTGGTTAGTTACAGATGAAGTTGGACTTTGTTCCGTTTCAATGATTTCTTAGGAGAATAACGGCGTTTTTAATTTTTAACGGTTTCCGAACTTTTTTTTTCTAAAAGCTTGCTGTTATTGAGCAGATTTTTTGGTACATTTATGTGGGCGTATTTTGGTTAGTTACAGATCAAGTCTAGATTTTGTTCCGCTTCAATGATTTTTAAGGCAATTACGGCCTTTTTAATTTTAAGGGTTTTCCGCACTTTTTTCCTAAATATTTGCAGATAGATATTGAGCTGATATTTGGAATGTGAGTCTACCTTGATGAGTTATAGATCAGGTTTGCATTATGTTATGCTTCAACGATTTTTTAACGGAATTACGGAATTCAATTTTAATGGGAACCAGATTACGCTTGCCGGTAGGGGACTAGTATTGCTAATGCAATACTCTCAGAATGCTTGTTCATTTTCATTCTACGTTGATTCAATAAAATTCTTTGAACTCGAAATAAAAGACACCACAGAGTCTTACATATCTGCGTTATATTTGGATGTCTTATTACTAACTAGAAAAAAAAAAGTTGAATGTTGTCTTTTTCATACAAACTGTTAGGTCATTATTTTGACAGTAAATTATCTACGGATTTTTCTGTTTGCCCGATCATGACAAGTAGATGCTGGTTTGGTTTAAATTTTTGGGCCTATTTTGTTGTACATTATGCAAAAAATAAAAATAAAGAACAAATTTCTAAAATATCAACCTATCTACCTATCAGCAACATCCTTATTTCTCAATACGAATTTTTGCCACTTTAAATCCCAATATTGTGAAACTTTGAATAAAAAATTAAAAACTATTAGATTATATTTGTTTATTGTACTTATGTAAAGATGACTCAAGTTTTTACTTTCAGATTTTTTGATAAAAGTTTCTTTGTATCATCTTCCTTTAAATATATAACTAATGGATTTTTTTAATGAACACGGGATAAATATGAAAGCATTAATGACGTAACCAGTATCAATACTATTTAAGAGAATTATATATTTTGAAACTTATTGGCATAGAATATGCCAAAAATAATGTATCCGACCCATATTATGGCTTAATTTTCTAACTTTAGATATCCATCATGTATAAAATATTCTGATATTAATTCAGACCACTTAAAGTAGAAAAGGATTTACCAAGAAAAAAATTCAAAAAATAATAACAATAATGATAATAAAAACCTAAGCAGTGATAATTTAAAGAAGATTGCATTGAGGTTCTGATGACAAGCAATTTTTGAAAGCAAAAATTTAAATACTAATATCATCAATAAATACTGTGTAAGTAAGGTGTATTTCTTGTAGAAAAATAATAAAATACTCATTTTTTACAAGATGGATTTTTTTGTAACTGATAATTTTATTGATTAAAAGCAAAGGGGTGCCACTTCAAGTACAGGACAAGGTCATAAATTATAGCACGTTCCGCTCTAACTTACTGATACTAAAGCATGGAAATTATGTCTGAATATGCTGAGTATTCAGCCCATATAGATTTGTTGTGCACTCAATTTTACTGAATTTGACACTTTAAACGTGCTACTATATCAAAAATGTTTGAATTTAAGCCACACGTACTTTGAAAATGTTAGTTTTCAGTACAAAGGATCTTTCCTAGATTGCTAAGTTAATCAAGCTCCATATAATAAACAAGATCGAAAGAGTCATTTACATTAATTGCTTAATATGAAGTGCAATTTAGTATAAAATACCAAAGGATATTAGCATAAGTTAATATCAAACATTATGCCTTTGCTTATTGCAATTAAATTTTCTTCTATCAATTTTGTAATGTCAGTCAGGTTTTGTTTGACTTGAGCGTTGAGAAAATAATCATGAACTAATGTTCTTTTACATTTAAGGTAGGTGTTACGAATTTTTACGACATTATTCTATATATATAGCTACATAAAACCTTGCCACTTTAAGATAATAGTTTTATGTGCGACAAATGGTGAGTCTTTTAGACATTTTTCTTTTTAAATATCTCGGTTATAAAAAAAATCACCTTTCCAAGAAAAAAAAAATCACATTTTAAAAGAGAGAAAACAAAATAGAAATTCACATTCAAAAATGTATATTCAAAGATATTTATTTTAACCTTAACTGATAATATTTAAAATATGTGATATATATATATTATTATAACAGTAACTTGATCCGAGGAGCCGTATCACGTCTCCTTGACAGGCGCGGATCATCAGATCAAACTCGACGCTTCGCGTCTCGTTTGATCTGATGATCCGCGCCTGTCAACGAGACGTGATACGGCTCTTCGGATCAAGTTACTGTTATAATGATAAATTTATTATATACCCCTTTATAACTAGCAAAGTATAATAAAAGGAAAACTTTTTTGGATCAATTATATAACTTTTATCCATTAAACCATTTTGTCAAGGAACTTTTTGATGCGCGAGAATAAAAACGTCATTTATTTGTGTACTACGTCATCAGTTTCAGAGAGGGGTGATATGGATTCAGAAAACCACAGTGTGGTGATCTGGAAAGTCGGATCACACTCTGTAAAATTAACAGTAACAAAAACAAGGAAATTGATGGGTATTTTTTCCTTAAACTCGAAGCAAAGATGCATAAACATAAAACCAATGAGAAACAGATTATTTTGCTATGTATTTCATCTTATTTTTTAAGAGATGATACGGATAAATTTTTTGCACTCATTTCAACTATCAGCAGTATATGATGTTTGTCTCCCAATTGATTCGATACGTATGCTCTGAGTTCTATCAAATAAGTTAATGTTACAGGAATATCAACAATATTGTAAAATTTTAGCATTTCACAATCGCTATGTTAATCTTAATTACCCTGTTTGTAATTTAACCTATCACTTGTCCTTTTTTTTAAATCCGTATCATTTCAAACAAACTGTTAGGCTTCTATCCATTACTTATCATAACAAAGGTGTACTTTGCTTTGCTCACTCGATCAATAAAGAGGACTTATGACTGTTGTGTGCCGTAAGTAGATCCTTTCTCTCCCTAGGCACCTGATCCTTTTTCTACTGGATTCATGCGTCATTGTTTGTTTCAGACTTCCTAACAATTTGTATCGTTATACCTTTGATAATTCGTTCCTATACGAATCTTTACTTAAATCTTATAACGCTCTAAGGGAGTTTTTATTTTTATACCCCCGTTATCGAAGATTCGGGGCATATAGTTTTACTATGTCAATCCGTCTGTCCTTTTGTCTGTTAATCTGATTGTTTGTTTGTCCACAAAAGCATTAACCTTGACCTTTGAGTTTGACCTATTTTTTGAAAAAAAACATTATCCTTGCATGGTAACAAGTTTTGAATGGCTAGAGCTAGGGCTTTCATATTATATATGTGTATTTCTATTGTCAAGACCTTGTCTTGGGTACCAACAATTTTGACCATTTGACCTTAAAGTTTGACCTACTTTTGAAAAACTTTATCCCTGGCCATAACTTTTGATGTAGGAGCTAGGGCTGTCATCTTTTACATGCATATTCTCTGTGACAGGACTTTCCCTTGAATACCAGCAAATGTGACCCTTTGACCTTGATGTTTGACTTTCAAAAAAAAATTAACCTTGGCCATAACTTTTAAATGGTCGGTGCTAGGCCTTTTTATTTCACAGGTGTATTCATAATGACAAGATTTTAACCTGGGCTCCATTTATTTATCTTGATCTTGAAATTTGGCATTCTTTTGAAAAACTTTAACCTTGGCCATAACGTTTGAATGGTTGGTGCCAGGGCTTTTATATTTCACAGGTGTATGCCTAGTGACAAGTCCTTTCAATGGGCCCGATTAATTTTGACCTTGACTTTGGAGTTTGACCTACTTCTGAAAAACTTTAACCTTGGCCATAACTTTTGAATAATTGGTGCATGGGCTTTTATATTTCACAGGTGTATTCCTTATGACAAGACCTTTTTTTTGGGTTCCATTTTTTTTTTATCTCTCGACCTTCACCTTGAAGTTTGTCTAGCATTTGAGCAACTTTAACCTTAGCCATTAGTGTCATACGGGGGCATCACGCTAATAAATCTTGTTATAATGATTGCCACAACCTTCAGTATAGAGATTAAGATACCAACTCGTTACGATAAATAAACACATTTTAGAATACTGCCTTAGGCGAAAATAAATATCATGATGAGATTTCAACGTGAAAATTATTGCATTCAATAAGCTAAAACTCTCAATTATCACCTAGTATGTCTGCATCTTTTCATTGGCTCGGATGTATAGGTAAGTGTTCCTAAGGCTTTTAAAATTGAATAGAAATTAAACTATGTAGATGTACATGATTAAGTTGGAAAATGTTGACTCTTCATTTACATTTATAAAGGATAAAATGAAAACGTATTCATTCTGCTGGTAATTAACAACAACATTGATACTTAAGTATTTAGCGCTCTTTCTCTATTTTATTTAGGGGGGGGGGGTAGTGTTTAATAAATTTTAGATTCCCAACTTTCAATGTGTTATTTCAACAATAGAAGGGTTTGTTTGTCTGATAAGACGGGAACAGATACAGCCATCACAGAAAACAAAATAAATGTTCTTTAAGATGTGTATGTTTATCGCAATAGATGCAATCATTGACAAACAAAAAAAATGAATTTCAATAAAATTCATTGCTTATATTTATTTCTAGATAAATATTTGTACAAAGTAGAAGTAAGAAATAGGAAAAGCTAAGTAAATTATTATCAGTTATATTAATGTCATTGCCATAGACATTTGATATAATGTAAATGAAGTTATAATTAATCAGTTCAAATTAATTTTTAGTAATACAGGTACTTATTGAAAATATATTCATATTCAAATTTTCTAATACTGAGCTCAGCAACTAAAAAGAAGAAAAATAAGGATTTTCACAGAGAAATGGAAGCGTTGCTCCTTTGTATGGTGTTTCTCCAAACGTTAATCATCAGTCATGTGTTAGGAAGACATCTAGGTAGGTAAATGTCTCAGCTTTTGATTTCAGTGAGCCGAAATATTCCATCTGTAATTATATCAAATTAAAAGAGTCTTGAATTCTCATGTATACAATACATTTATTCGTACCCACTCACCATATTCAGCCATATTGCTTTAAGGTACCTTGTTTGTTTGTTTGTTTGTTTGTTTGTTTTTTTTTTTTTTTTTTTTTTTTTTTTTTTACAGAAATACATGTATACCCAATGAGCTTTTTGCAATACAGTGAATTTTCGTACCCTACTGTCGACTCGATTAAATATAAATTTCCGATAGTGAAGCATTTAGGGACTCACAAAATAATTAAAAACATTGATAAATCGGAAAAGATTTACCTAAAAGAAAAAAAAAGTATTTTTGTATGTTTGTTTGTTAATCGTCCTTTTGAGATTTTTTCATTCATATTGAGACGCCACCACTTGCCGGTTGAGGGCTGCAAATTTTGACCTGTACTCGGTACTTACGGCCTTTAAGCAGTGGGGGATCTTTTTCGGTCCAGTACCCACTGCAACACAGGACTTTGGTTTATAAGGTCTCATGAAAGAGACCAGTCTCCACGCCCCGCAGTGGGGTTCGAACCATTGCGGGCAAAAGGAAAAAGTAGTAAATATGTTTGAATGATTCGATATACCAGTAGATGCAAGCTTGGTAAAAAAAAAAATAATGGCAAGTGTATTTTTGCACAATAATATACATTAATTTACACGTCAAGTATTTGCAAAATGACCTTCATACCTAATAATGCACAGTAAATTTAGCAACTTTCTGTTGCAAGAATGCAACAAGCAACCAACAAGCATCCTATTCAAATGCCATAGATTGAAACATCACATGCATGACGGAAAAAAAAAGCCGAACGCTTTGGACTTATCCTGACTGGGAATAAAAAGAATATAGAAAAATTAAAACTGGACACTAATGCAGCCCTGGGAAAATTCAAAGGGTCAGAGATCAAAGATTGGAATATGTGGACATGTAGAGTTAAAAATATCTCATATCTAGTTTATTGACATATGCACCAAAAAGAGAGTATATTTAATAAAATCAATAACTCAAAAGAAAGCACTTCATTATACACCTCAGATCTTGGATACCCTTACTCCATGCTGATCAACTTTTTTTTTGGTTTCAGTCGGTAGAAATATTAAAAAGGAATACCATCGGTATTTGAGCTACTGGGCTAAATAAAGATAATGCATTCAATACTAATTATTGTATATACTTAAAACTACTTTTTTTCTTATAAAATTTATTAATTTAAATATCGCATTTTGTTGCTTGTATGACATGCGATTTATTATTATGTCAACCCGGAGGAAGTCGGGGGGATATTGCTATTATTCGACTAAAAAATCTGTAGGCACAATTTCTCAAAGATGGCTCTGTCAATCTCGATGAAACTCTACTGTCATAATGATCACTAAAAAAAGATGTGGAATCTTTTTTTCAAAATTTTCAAAATGGCGACTGTTGCCGCGGAAAATGATAAAAAGTGGTACTTTGTAAATTCATTTTCCCGGCTGCTTTTAAACAAATCTTTTTGAAACTTTAAAGAAGTGGTCCTCGCCTCCTGTTAAAAAAATAGACAAAAAAATGGAAATGGATAGACGGAAAATACGATTAATTGAAGAAAAGCTGATGTCACGTGACCAATTTTGTAATAAATTGCTAATGAGTCCGTCCTGTAATTTTCTCGAAAATGACCTGGACAAAATTACTGAAACTTTAGAGAAATGATAATCACCAACTGTAGTTCTGCAAACATCTTAATGATGGTACTTTACAAAAGCCAAAGTGCAAAGCAATATGTGTGCAAAATATCAAATACATACCTCTTATAGTTCTCAAGATATAGGGTGTGACAGATGGATACACAGAAAGAAAGACTGAGATTGCTTCTGGAGGAAAGATGGATTAAACACATACATGTATTTACATGTATCTTGTTTTTAAATGAATATTTCTAATATGTAATTTCAATTATCAATTATTATTAACTCTAGCTTTAAAGGTTGGGGAATCATATTTCTATGTGAATGTCAGATTTTATATGATAAATGCTATTTTATCGGTCTTAATATTTGTGGATTTTTTTCTTTGCTGTTATAAGTCATAATAATGCTAGTAGCAAATAATTTACTGGCCATCCTTCTTTAATGATGCTATAAAGCAGGCGACACGTGTTCCTTGGCACACTCTAGTTCACTATCGAATCCAGCGCCCTCTACTGTTGCTATTTGGTGGATCAGAATTATTATTGAAATATGCCTTTTAAAATTCTAAGATTCTAAGTTAAGCGTTTCAATAACATTTCTTCTTGATTTAACTGATTTTTCCCCTTAAAATAAAAAGTATTTAAAAAAACTCTACCTTTTATGATTTTATTTTCGTAATGTGCTTTATTAAAATCAAATCAATCATCTCCGAAACAATTTTTAGGCAGCTAGGCGCGTAGCATCTGGGAAAAAAAAAGGGGGGGGGGTCTGCCCCTTTTCTGAAATCTAAATTTTTACTGTTCATTTACTATGAAAATGTTCATTGAAAGGCCGTTTGCCCCCTTCCCCGGACTTTGCAGTGTAGTGAAATCCGGTCATGTTAATCTTAAGAAAAAAAAATTATGATAAAAAAGTTTGAACCCCCCCCCCCCCCCCCCAACGAAATAGGATTTTCGACTTTTGGAAATTTATCCTATTTCCATTTTTATTTCTTTATTTTTTTTTATCTGTCCAAGACTATTCAGGTAAGTTGTATTTCTTTTCCAGCTGCCCCCCTTTCAAAATCGATACTACGTGCCTGTTAGGTGAACATCCTCGCTTGTGATTTGTCTTGGTTAGTATCTTCGCATCTGCTTGCCTTTCATATTTTTGTATCCTGTAATACCAAATTTTGCGACTTTCAGAAATTCAATAATATTAATCGTGGCTTGTGTGGATGTCGTAATTTTATTTAAAAATCAACTAACGTTTAACTCAATATTTAAATATATCAACTCGATCTGGATCAACAACACACTAAAAGTTTTGATTTACGTATTATTTTGTAATCACACTTTCGTTTTCTATGATTTGCTCTTGCGCGAGTTCAAATCTTAGTGTCATTGTAGAAAACAATCATGCATACACTTGTTACAAAAACATTATACTCACGGATAGAATATTTATCAGTTTATTGTATTAACCTAATAAGATTTTCTTAAATTCGGTAATGTACCTGTTTTTCTAGAACATTTAATGCAAAAATTATTCAATACTGGCATAGAAGCAATTGATCAAATGCTTCGAAAACAGGGATCTACCAAGTTTGACTTGTCTTGATAATTTGAATGAGAAATCGCTTTTGTTCTTCAATACAGGATTGTTTTATATTATGCAATTAGTTGCAGCGTGTGTACACAAACTTGCATTAAAAAAAAATGGACACCAGACCGATGCTTGGCCAAAGGTGGGCATGGTAGTTGAGTCAGTATGGTTTCTACAGGAAGAGAGTCGTTAAAACATGACTATTAAGTGATAATCTCGAAAATGATTGTATTATTATTCTGAGGAGCCAGTTGGCTTAAGGAAATAAAGAAACTTGAAACTTGACTTAATAATTCGAAGTTTTAACTGAAACATCAATTTTCATAAAGTATACTACATTGTATCATTTAAATAGAGTGTAATTTATGTATCGCAAATCTATAGCAACGGCAGTGTAGTACACCGGATACGGATGCCAAAGCATTGGCTGGAAGCAGTCACTGTGTGCTTACAATCATTCTCAGGAAGCCTTGGCATCACTTAAGGAGAATTCGGAACATTGCTGCAATACTTATTTTGAAAAAAAAAACCGAACTCTTACGTGAAGTTTAAGATATCTGTTTAATAGGCTCAGTCTTTGTTCGGGTAACATGATGAATATAATTCAACAGTTTTACCGACTTTGCAAAATTGAAGATGTCCTCTACTTTTAAAGTATAAATACTTTATATGTGATTTTTTTTCTCTAGAAGTAGGATGTTTCTTATGCATGTCTGACTCAGTATATATTATTCCTTAGAATTCATTGGGACTCTCATATGGGGTGAAACTAGAATTTATTGAATGACCATGACACCCTCATGTATGCTTTAAAGAATTGTATGTATGCCACAGGTACTTGTGGACAGAACCCCCCCCCCCCCCCCCCCCCCAATTCAACCCCGATGTTTGTTGGACATTTTTTCAAAAATTATATTTATTGCACTTATTCATCACGTGTACCATAGGAAAAAATCGTGAAGACCCCAAAATAATCGTTCCACACAAAAATGTATAGTGGGGTATTTTTGTGTGGAACGATTATTTTGGGGTTTTCACGATTTTTCCTATGGTACACATGATGAATAAATGCAATAGATATACATGTAATTTGTGAAAAAATGTCCAACAAGCCCTGGGGTTGAATGGGGGGGGGGGGGGAGGGGGGTTCTTGTCCACAAGTACCTGTGGTGTATGTGTCCGAAATGGTCTTAACTGTATGTGCACGTAAACAGTTGCTTTAATTTTAAACCACTGGAAGTCAGTGTTCAAACACAGCTAGTACATGTAATTGTGTTTGTGACCATATTCTTTGGAAGATGAGATTGGTATATAGATTCGAAGCTGACTTTTCACTCCCTGTTACTGTTTGAAGGTTACAGGCCCGTAGGAAGCAATTTCAGTTTGGGGGGGGGGGGCACAGCCATACATTTTCAGTTGATGGGGCACTATCAACTACCAAAATTTCTTGACAAGCAAAAAAAAAAAAAAAAGCTCATCAGACGTTTTTATTGAGGAGGCACAAGCATATAGTATCTAAGTTTTCTATAGTAATTTATATATCGGCAAAATTATTGGGGGGGGGGGGGGACACGCCCCCCCCCCCTTCCTACGGCCATGGGTTACTAAGTTTACCCCTATTTCACTGACCTTGCAAGTAGTACCAGTTCTTTTAAAGTTTTTTTTCTTAATTTCTCTGGATGTATATGAGGCGGAATAGCTTTATTTCATTACATAGACGGAAGGAAGA